GACCAAGCTGAAATCCTTTTTTAGTGAGCAATTTTCAGTGAAACTTCCGAGAGCGTTCCATACTTACACTAAGATTCCTGTCCAGGAGGTAATTGCATTCAAAATCGTCATCGTCCTCACCCAGTGGATTCATAAGGCTTTCCGCTACCTGAACTGCGAGCATAAAATGAGTGCAACATCAACCCTCCCATAGTAGGTTTCGTAACAGAACAATATTCTAGAAACTGACATCTTACGCCGTATACATATGGATGCTCGGACTTCAAAGCGATCAGATGCGTATTTCCAAACCATTTTTTGTTTTCTCTTATTTATATTCATTTTTTAATATTTCAAAGAGAATGGCACCATGTCGTTGGCCGACTCTATGCCATCGCGTGTGGGTGCAACTAACAATTTCTTCTTTTCAATACATTGTTTACAACAATTTAAAACATTTTCAACATCCCAATCATTAGAATGTTACATAATATCTGCTTCTTGTACGATTTACAGAAATTTTCAATAAGGCTCGTTTATAATGAATTTTACATGTCGCATTAGCTGCAAGGCATCAATTGAATTTTCTGTGAATGTATGTGAAGACTGATCTACTAGTTCTTTCTACTTTTTATAGGCTTCTGACTTCTGGAAGAGGTATGTAAAAATTGCGACTGTACACGTTAACTTTGATAGTTTTTACCTCCATATCCTTTTACTCGAGTAGCTGCACTAATCTTTCCCTTAGCAAGCCGCGTTTTGAAAGCAGAAAATAGGCATGCGAACCGAGTGCCGACATTTACTTTGACAGAACTAAATTAGAACCTCGCTCGACAGGTAAGCTGGCGAACAGTTGGCTCGAGGGCGCAGGATATGAAATGTTTTCCTCCTCTTCTCTAATTCCTGGGATTTGGTCAACAGTCGCGTCAACGTGAGCTACTGGTCACCACTATGGTCAACATCCAAACCCAATAAAACTCGCACAAGCTTTCCCACGAGGAGTGAACTACACTGGTGTGCAAAACTTAAGGACCGAAGTAACTTTCACATGATATCTCACTGCTAGTTAACCTAGGTGGACCAAATTTGGCACATATATAGAAGTAAATGTTGCGGTACAGTGCAGAGAGTTACTAACAGAAAAGCGCAAAGGGGCGATTGGAAAAGACATTTTTCTGCAAATACCCTGTCTGAAGCGGTCGATAGGTGAGGCTTCTCCAACTCATGGTAGACACTCAAAAGAGAGGAGCTAGTTCTTGATGGGGTGTATGAACACTACGGACTGCAAGGTATGCTCTGCTACGTGTTCCCATACAGGCCGTAAGATTAGTTAAGAGTTCTTGAGGAGAAGTGACCGATTCCTTGGAGACCGCGATTGACAACTGCAGGACTATTGTTGGCACATGGTCATGTGCTACAATAGCTCATCTGAATCCACGCCACACGTGCTCCATAGAATTAGACTGGAGGAAATAAATGGCTTCACCAATTACCGAAAATCCTCACTTTTCAAGAGTTTTCCACCCAGGCTGCTCGATACTCTCGCACACTGCCCTCCATACGATTGAAGCTGAGGGCAAGGGAACCCTTGGAAAGATGCACATGACAGAAGGGTACAACACCACAATCACGTTGATCAGAAAGTGTAACGCGATCATGAGTTGGGGATCAGTACGCCCCGACAACTTTATGCCTCCCCACATCATGTCGCATGCACCTACCAAAACAATCATGTTAAACGATGGTCCTGGGTAGATTACACGTTCCTATTTTCCCCATATGCAGGTAAGTCCAGAATCACTACTCACATTCAGTTTGCTCTTGACCGGGAAGAATACGCGATTTTTCAATTCGGTGGTCCATCTCCAATGTCTCGGCTCGTACCAAATGTCCCAGCCGAGGCGTGGATTTCAAATGAATACAGGTATTGTTGATCGATGAGAGAGATCACTCCTAGGCGGTCACTGCGCCACTGTCCGGACTGGGATTACATGCCTTACAATCCTGATAAATGTTTTTGCAACTGCAGCATGTGACTGACGTGGGTCCATTTTTGCCTGTAGCAAAACCTAGCAATCACCTGCTGCTGCGGTTGTTCGTGACCCACAACCTCCTCTTCTTGGGACAGCAGTGGCTGCGGTCCACATTGCTTCTCATGCACAAAAAACAATGCTGTGGTTGACACAAAACTCCTGGACACAACTTCCTTTTTTCAGTTTCCCAATGATTCTTCCTCGCGTAAAGTCACCCTAGTGTTGTCTCTGAGACTTGATGTAATCAAGAACACCACTACATTCCACAGTCACTTCTCCCTGCTTAGTTTACCCCTCTTGTCCTGCCCCACGATACCCATCGTTCTGGGTGGCCACCCCATTTAGGCTCCAGATTGAAGCCGGATGCAAGACATATGAGGCCCACTTCGGTGCCCATGACTGTAGGGCTTCTAGCATTATGCCCGTACAGTTTCATCCAATTCCATCTAATTGTTAATAAGTTAGGACAATTTATCTATCTGGTCCTTAAGTTTTGCACACCAGTGTAGTTTTGACTCACAGGTCGAATTTCCTAACCAACTGGCCTCGATGTGTAGGTAGAGCAGAGACATCTACGATATGCAAAATAGTTTCGAAGGTGTATTTCTCGAAGCTTTCTCAATTAGATGGATCGTGCTTTATATAGGGAATGGCAATTTATTGAGCTATTCCATCAGGTTTATTGAATTCAGCTCTTCTGTTCGTATCTGCCAGAGAAGATTTTGCGAAAGGAACACTTTCATGATCTAAGCTGGATTCGATCGCGAAGTCAGTGTAGCGACGCCTTTTCCCAATCTCCCAGTTCGCTCATGGAGACCGTCACAGCACGCTACGAAAGAAGGAGAAGCTACGAGCAATTAGTGCGATTCTGAGCAGCATCCGGAAGGAGACCTTCACACCAGAAAAGCTTAAGAAATACCAGTCAGCTACTTCTAGTGGTATAATACGGCGTTTGAAAGCGCTGTGAGTTAGACTTAAAGGCAGCGACAGATAGATGGGAGCGTGTATCGGGGAGCTAGTACCAAAAGAATCAGTTACTTGGCTTCAGGGAACGAGCCTAGCGCGTCCACGACGGAAGGTTCGCTGGTTGCTGAGCAGGACTTTGAAAGCACTCCGCCCCCAAAAGGGATCCGCCCACTAGTTTGCTTGGTTATGTGGAAGAGCAGCGTTGCCAGTAGCTTCACAACTTGAGCAACGCGACTGGAGTGTGTTTTAGCAGTGAGTCCCGTGTGTTGTTGCGTTGAACGGCTCATAACTGCCCGTTTTCCCGAAGCTGTCACCTGGTTCATGCGTGGAAACAACGAAATCCAAAGGGGTCCATTTAGCATTTTTCGCATCGGATTTCACAGCTTTTTCGCGCACCCGCGTACAATGAGTGCATCAAATCTCTTTTGACTTATTTGAATCTATCGTAATCGTTCTTTTGAACCGATTTTCAATATTAGTGCGTCTACTATATAAGTCACCGTTATGGAAGATTCTCTACAAACTTAAGCACTATAAATCTGTACTAATCCGGCTTCCTAGTTTACATGCGATTCACAAACCTTCATCACACGCGACGTAGAAAACGAATTGCAGCGCCGTCATTATGAGAGGAATGATAGGGAAGACCTGAAATGGAAAAGATCAGTACAACAGTCAAACCATAGCCCTGAGCAGTCAATCTGTGCATCTGTTTAGTTTGTTAAAGCTCTTTCAGTTCAACTATAGTCATGCGCGGGCCATACCTACATCAGCGATTATAAACTTACAAACTGGCTGTCCTTTTTGGCGGTTCAGCGCACTGATGAAACAGACTGTCGAAGCTACTAAGCATAGACGAAGTCGTATCGAAACAGCGAGAAGTCACAAATAAATTTCTACAGTACGTAAAAGCTTTCAATTGGTTACAAAAAGTAGGGGAATTAACGGTAGGATTTATATTTTGGAGGTTAACATATGAAGTAAGTGTTAGTCTGAACTTGACTCTCATTATTGACCTTTCAACTTCATTTTCCGAGGTTTATTATAAAAGACAGCAAATCAGAAGTGAAGGCAGTGATGGTCAGTGGAGCAGGTATAAATAAAAACCATGCAAAATGGCCCAGAACCCAAGAAATGGGACCCCTTTCTTCTCGCTTGTTTCCGATTGATGCATTCCCATCGGTGGCTTCTGCTTTGCGCTCACTGTTCGTCTCTCTCTGCTTTCTGCTAGAGTTCGACGGTGCGGTGTGGTGACGGGCAGAGAGCAAGAGAGCGCGATAGCGGCGACGTTTAGGGCGCTGGGCATTTCCGAAACTTGCAATGGCGCATTGTTAAAGCGAGAGATTACGATAAAGTGTGTGTGCAGCGTGGAAGTACATGCACCAGTGGAAGCAGTAGTCAGGGGCCAAAGGAAGCGAAATGTGGCGTTTTTGTGGCCAAAGGTGCGCTACCTTCATAGTACTGGGCTTGCCATTCCTTTCTGAGCTCCGCCAGACCCCGGAGTGATGGAAGGCTTGGTTGGTCTAGACAAGCACAACCCAGGATTCGATCCCCGGACGTGGTAAGCGTGCCACTTGCCACTACACTTTTCCATCCTGAACGAGCATGCTGAAATTGTAAATCGTTTTCAAATCCCCCAAATTTTCAGCTTGCACTTGACAGGGGTTTGTCCCCGTCGATAAGAGTGCTCGGCAAAGCGACTTTTCCACTTGCTCTCCGATCGCTCAAGGATCACGGTAAAAAGTCACTAGCAGACATCAGTAAAGTCTATTTGCACGAATCATTGCGCTCGTCCCCCATTGAGTAAAAGGGAGGAGCCGTAGGAAAGACCCAAAAATCGTTTTTGATTATGTATCCACTCCTTTGTTGCTGCTTCTTATACAATTTTCAAAACCCATATCAGGACCCGAGCCTTCTCAAAAAGGTTTCGAAACTTCGGAAATCATTGTCGGGGGCAAAAATCTAAGTGTGTCAAAGTCAAGCTGGTCAAAGCAAAGTAACCAGCAAAGTAACCTGTCAAAGTCAAGCTGTGAGATTGATTGCGTTTGGTCCTGATGAAATCGCCAAAGAATGACCCACCTGTGGATAAACTAGTGGTATGGGCACCCAATCGAAGTTACACAGTTTTGCCAGACTCTGTCGAAACTCCGATACATTCTGAAATTTCGCGACTTCTTCGAAGATTCGTTGAGACATGAATGGAAGTCTATTTCAGTTCCAAAGGAGCATTGCTCTTCAAGAACAGCAAAGAAAATATGGAGTATGGATAGTAAATCCTGGATAATAATTGTTACTATGGACCAACCTTGAGTATTTCATTCATCATCAGATCACAGCTTAATTTTCCAGACATACGTGCTTCGTAGACCACCGTGTAGCACCACTGTATCGGCAGGAACACTTTTGTGTATTTGTTATTGTATGCCAAGTACTTGTCGCGCTCTGCCTCCGTCATGAAACCTAAGAAATACGTACTCTGAATAAACAACAAAAACGAAAATACACTGGTGTGCAAAACTTAAGGACGAGACAGATGAAGTATCATAACCTTTTGATAGCTTTGTGGACCGTTTAACGGTTCCTGTTAACTGCTTTCTTTAGTGCCCTGTGCAGCTCTTTGTATGTGTGGTTAGGTTCCATAGAGTCATGTTACGCGCCAGTAACACGTCGTTGGAAAAGCTACGTTCGTCCCTAAGTTTTGCACACCAGTGTAGATAAGGGAAGATCTTCCGTCGCACTACCGAATTCTGAAATTCCTTCTTTCATTCACTGTGGAATGGTACCATTTACCACTCACACGGACCATTTGGTCAACCAAACCCGAGTATGTTTTTCACCCATTCTAGGCCACTAGGCCACTTTAGTAGTCCAGTTTACGTTTTGGCCAACATGGGACCTAATTTTTGGGGAAAAGATACCGATCCGGAAATGAGCTGCCTCATACACACCTCCCATTCTTGGCATGAGACGAATAGACGTTAAAAAGCTTTCGCCACCTCACATCAAAGGACAATGAGATTTAATTCCACACAATTTGTTCAGCTATGACCACATAAAGGTGGGGTTTACGATGAAAAGCAACTCAGTAAAAATCAGACAGTGGTGGTCAGTGAAGCAGAGATAGAAGAGAAACAATGGGAACGCCCAGAACTCTAGAAATGACTCCTCTTCGCTTGTTGATTTCCGCACACCTGCTCTTTTCCAACATTAATACTCTGCTAAACAGCTAGAGGTTCAAAAGGCGAGGGGTGGGCGTACCGTGGCGCTCGCGGCGCGGAGATGACCATGCTAGATCGTTGGGACATATCCTTCGCTACGATTTGCATGTCGGGCCACACCCTTAGGAGTCGGCCTGTCTTTCCTAAGTAGGTTTCCCCTTCTTCGACCTCCGGCGTTAATCAAGGAATCCTCCTCTAAATCTTCATCAAGTTAGTTATGATGCAACGGCGTTTTAAAACATCCCGGTCATAAGTTTTGCATCAGCAAAGGGCACACGTACCCCATGCTCACTGACTTGAGCACACAGGAAATGGATCAAATTACAGAACAGTTTTGTCAAGGCTTACGGTACTTGGATAAAGAAGCACCGTTTCGTGGTGAATGCTCAATATTTGCTGTGCCAAAGTGCTGATCAGAAACATTTCCAGTTCCTAATTCCAGTACTGTTCAACATTCCCCCAGAAAAAAAATATGAGCAAAACAAGGGGGCTGTCAAAGTACAGTCCATACAAGGAACTCTAAGTAAGTATTTCAGCAATTTTTCAAGCCATCAATCTCGGACGGAGATGAGAGCGCTTATGAATAGAAATAGGGAATATGAGAACTTTCGTGGATCTTAACATAAGTTGTGCTGCTATTCACTTCGCAGTAATTTCTAGTTAGTTATTTTTTCACAAACAGGTCAAATTATTATATAACCACTAAAGGATAGCCTTGGAAAACCGTTTCAAAAGCCAAATTCGTATACCTCTATAAACTGACAAAATACGTTGGAGTACGTTTTCGCTCGGTCTTAACGCTTTGTTTAGAAACGTTTGGTGAGACAACGTCAGCTGATCCTCCTGTGAATTGCTTTTAGGCAAGTGTCAGTTCTGCGAAAATTTGCGCGATTTCGTTATCAAATAAGCGCAAAGTATGAATATCTGCCTAGAAAGGGAAGCCGTGAGAAATCACTCATCGACTGAAGAAAGCATGAAATTTTTACGAAAAAAATAGGCCCGCCAAAATGATAAAATGGCTAGGAACTATCGCAGGATAAGGAATTAAAGGACGCACAAAAAGCTTCGCACCCCCCAACGGTGCGGCAGACACTCCACAGGGTGTAACCTCTGCGCACCTTGAGCAGTCGTCTTTGTATGGCACCATTTGAGACAAAACGCCACAGATAGTCTGCCCTGGCCAATAGCACCCTTTATTTAGAAAATTCATTATCTTTGAGGAATCGTTTATGCATAACGAGCTTGCCGGTCTAAAGGTATTACTAACAGCTAAGTCAACCGATGTGCAAGCCAGTGCAATCGTTCTCCAAATAAGTCTGATACCATTTAATCGACACCACTTCATGAGCCTTTACGGTGGCTAGAAGCGCTAGGTACGCAAGTGTAGAGGTCGCGTCACTTCCCTACTTCGAAAAGCGTTACTTAGACGCTAGGCGCTAAGAACTTTGACACGCTCCACCTGCTGCGACACGCTTTTTTTAAGACTGTCCTCCCGCAGCGTAAGGCAAAAGGTCGTTTTTTCTTCCTGTGTATTTCACAATTTCCGATTCACTTTTGTTCTCCACCTGCTTGTCACTTCCTACTCTATTTTCACGACTGCGCCGCCTTTGAGTGGATGGCCTCCATAATTTGATCCTGATCTTGGCCTTTATCGACCACCACAAAGGGATAGAGCAATCGGTTCTATCCGAGACTGATGTAGCCCTGAGCGTGCACATAGTAAACAGCAGAGATGTGCCATACATCACCTCTACCCAAAATTTCGAATTGTTTTCTTAATTCAAGGCTTTCCGTTATTGTTGGAATTCAAATAGAGAGATCTTTCCACTTTTTAAAATTTAACCATCAGTTCCACTGGAACTCGAGTCGAGCCCAGCCCCGTCAATGAATGTGCTGGACCGTGTGTGACCTTTTCATCTTGTCTACGAGTATAATACGATTATCAAGCGTAAAACGGAGTAATTCGACATACGTACCGGATGCCACTACGGTATCGAGAGTGGGAAGCCGTCGTCGGACCTGCATACTGATATCACGGTAGATCAGAACCTAAAATGTAAAATTAAGGTAGAAAACTTAATCAAAGTGAATTTGAATCCGAAAACTACTGAGCAATTCAATGGAACTAGATCATAGGGTACCTGGGTCAAGACCATATAACGAATTACATTTCTTCGCATCATACGACTCTTCTCATCGCTTCCTCGCAGATACGTCGCAGTTAGAAGTGCGGTGCTAAAAAAGATATGTTCTGGGTCACTCCTTGACCTACTCATACAGATAGTAGTAAATTATGGTTGGTTGGGCGCTTTGGAATGTATCGTAGCCTCATACTGGTTCCCCAGGGGCCTAATTCCCTCACAACGAAGACGATGCTTCGCCTTTTCCCCCTCCTCACTGAACGATGACAGTCACTTTTTCATCATACGGATAAGTGAGGCGGAGCAATTACAAGTGGGAAACGTTCGCTTCTCCTACATAGATCAGACCACCAGAGCTGCGCGACGACTGAGGCCTAATATTAGGCCGATGTTTAACCTTAGGTCTGCTACGAGCAATTCGCAATATGCTTGTAGACAAACCTCGTAGTTCACGTACTCCGGGAATTCCCTCCCGTGCCAAAATTGAATTACTGTAGGCGGCACCAACTAGCGCACCTGGCCCACTTATTGGAATAGATGCAATTCGCAATTCAAAAATCGGGAACACCCTTCTAAAGTGCAGTCCTGGAACTCGGTTGAAGCGATGCACTACTCCCATAAGTCGACACCCTTGTGATAGCCAAGTAGAAGCTTTTGTATCCTTAACCCCTACACTACTGCAAAGATTCACTATCGAAGTAAGAATTAAAAAAGAAGAGTTAAAAATCACCAACTTTTCAATCCACCCCATGTTACTGAAGATCTGATTCCATCTTCCGACAATAATTGTCACAAAGAAACCAAGCATAAATGTTAAAGGAATGTAGTCGAGCGTCTGGTCGAACAAAGCCGAAATCTCGTCCCAAAACCTGAATGACTTTTGAAAGCGAAGCAGAAGGTGCAGAAAGTGGATGCATACGTACTTACTTTCGTTGTCGTTCGGAAAGAAAATGATTAGTACGATAAATTGTCGTGATAAGTGCAAATGCCGTGAGAAATATCGTCAATTCCTGGAAGGATGTCGGAATTAAGGACCACCACCACAGCCAGATGCCTGTCTCATTTCGAAGGATTACCCTTCATAGCGATGCTTGAAAACTTTTTCGAAATGCAGTAAGAAGCTACCCCAATCTAGAAACTTGCCTTCATAACAGATTTCCATATTGAACCACGCCATCGAAATTGCAATTTCAGAAATCCAAGTATGGATGTGGACGATACGTCCAGATTATAGGAGACCGTCATTCGTAGTAGAAATCAATGCTGGGACGAAAAAGCTCTGTTAGATGATCTAAACAAACTGCATAGCTACATCGCGGATCGCTGCAGGAATGTATACAAAAACGCGTCATGAAAAACAGAACGAATGAAGGTTTCAAGAGAAAATTGATAACTGTTTTGCCGTGAAAAGCTAGGTCATTTCGACGAAGAAAGCCGGATAATAAGATCTCAAACGAGAATCGACTAAGTGGGTCGTGGGTCAGAGTGAAAATGATGCCAAATGACTGTGGGAATGTGAAGTCAGAAAAGGACAATCAGAAACGGCCATACTTCCATCTGGTGTGCCCAAGTAACCCATAACAATTGAGGCGCTTGGGAAAAGTGTGGACCTGCTGATGTTGCAGGTTTGACTGCTAAGCAAAGTATTAGGTTGGAGCAAG